GGAAGACATGTTTCAGGAATAGAGCAAGTCGGCAATCTACCTTTTACCGCATGTCACTAAATTGGCGTCGGTGATACGTACCACCCCACGTACATTTCCATACCAGTAGCACCAGCTAGAAAGGGCGGTTTGGTATTCGGAACGGTTGTTCTAAGCCAGCTCCAATCTTCTAAACGGCGAATGAGCCGCCACGACCAATAGTAACCAGCAGAGGCACGAATTGTGTTGCAACCATTGCATTCGTGATACCAGGTCTTCAATGTGTTGGCGATGGGACAACCAATATTCCGTCATCTCCAAGCGGCCACCTGTTCTCGGCCTGTCGCTCCTGATCTTGAATGCCTGCCCTGGCAAGCAAGCTACCATAGGGGATGGGAAAATCTTGCAATAGCACCTGTAATGTATGGAGTGTGACTCGCCAAAATCAGTAAAAGACAAATTCGTATTTTTGCAGGAAGATAAATTTAATTGGATTGCATTGAATTGAGATGCATTGAATGGATTGAATTGGATGCCAAATAGTACTGTTATTTTTATAGTAGATGTAATTCAATGCAATCAAATTAATCCAATGCAATCCAATCAAATCAATAGAGAAAACACAGCCAAAGTGAAAGATTGGCTTGGCCCACACAATTTTTTGCAAAAACGCTCTAACAAATTCAAAACAGAGCCATGGGCAAGTTGGAGCAAGTTTGCTCATCCCCCAATACCAGAAGCTGCCACAGCGAAGTTGCTGCCCTCAAGGAACGTCTGCGGCTCATATCCAGTGGTGACTTTTTGCACCAGTTCATTCGTAAGGGTTGTCAAAGCAAGGGTCACTGCGCATGCGTCCATATAATCACTCAGCACTCGTAAGGGTTTTCAATCAAGTTTTAAAGATCAGACCACGTTTTTCGTCCAAGTCGCCTAATTATCTGTCTGTAGCGGTACTAGTTGTACCGGTATGCACGGGTTCACGAGTAACTTTGGTCGATGTGCAATAATGTACGTACCGGTACCAAAAAAGTAGTTGCAAGCCAATCGTACCGGCACTGAAACTTGCACCGGGGCAGAGCTGACAATGTAATGTTGAGATAGACCCCGCCATGTTGAAGAAGGCGGCCATGGACACGAACTCGCTCATTTGCTTGGCCCCTGAGGTGCCTCGAGCGATGACACGGGTCCGCGTCTGGCTGCTTCAGTTGAAGCTCGTTTCAACTCCTGGCTCCGCGAATGGCCGAGCTCTCAGGCCGGCTTCTAAAGCCATTGTCAAAGACTGACTTGAACATCGTACTATCTAGCTAGTATCTTGTGAGCCGGTGACCCCAACCCCAAGGAGACTTCGATCAATCATCCTTGGCTCCTCTGCCTGCCAATCCGAACAGACACGTACCGGTAGCACAGGTTACGGTACCGTAGGAGGGTGATCTCTGCACTAGCTAGCTAGGCTAGCACACAGTAGTGCAGTAAGCCGGAAATCTACTCTGTTTTTCTACTGGCACTGATTCCAAAGTGTTGGTTGCCAATGGGATTTACTAGAGCATTGGTGCGTCTGGGCAAAGCAGACAGAATAGCTTTCTTTTTTGTGAGATGGGGATTGCAGTCTTCAATAAAGTCGCCCAGTAGAGAACACCCAACGTAAGGGGATCTATTAGATACATGTAGCTGGCTATGTTACAATAACTAAAGAACTGAATAAGGGTTTACCGGTAGGGAATGCGGGGGGCTAAGCGAGGCAGAGGGGGGCACTTGTGGTGGGGAATCACAGGGCCGGGAGTGTACAGTAGTTACTGTAGAGGCTG